GAACAACATTGTCGTCCCACGACTTCCCCCTGCACTTGATGTAGCAACACCCTCAGACAGAAACTGGTTCATCTCAATGCACTCCCAAACACAAGTGGAATAACACAATGTATGTTGTGCAGCGCGGTGAGTAGTGCTCGGACTCTAAATAGGAGAAACCAAACAGCGACCGTAGAAGAGCCACCTCAACATGACAACATCTGCACCTGAACGATAAAGGTCACTCTTTCAAGGATGCAAATGTCCACACCGTGGACCGAGAATACAGATGTTTTCAAAGAGCAGTAAAGGAGACGATCTGTGTCCACCATCTTTGACCAGACACCGGATACAATGCAGTCTAGAGATCCCTTCCCAAGCGTCTCAAACCTCACTTACACCTTGGCATGGGAGAGGTCGTACCTTGTCTTATTGTTTTATGGTAGGATGAAAGTATCTATTATCTGTTTTAGTTTAAGTGCCTTTTGTTTAGATGAACTGCTGGACTTCCAGACCAGCAGGTTTAGGGAAGTCTTTATGGGGTCACACTCTGACCACACACACACACATACTTACACAACGCACAGGCAAGGTACTCTTTGTTTGTATGTAGACGTCATATGTTAATGAAGCTATGTATATTCATGTAACCTCAATAAAAGAGCAGTGTTACGGGGGAGCGGACGAGAGCGACTGGGGTCAAGCGAAGGAACGGCGCTTGTCGTGGTTCTCTCCCTCATTCATGAGTGACACGAAGAACTTTGCCTACTTGGTGTTTAATGCTTTTTGCTGTGTAGTTGAATTGTCCTTAACGTTCCAGCGAATAGGTTTATGCTACAAACCTATCAGCAGTAAAGGAGACGATCTGTGTCCACCATCTTTGACCAGACACCAGATATAATGCAGTCTAGAGATCCCTTCCGAAGCGTCTAAAACCTCACTTACACCTTGCCTCAGGTGATCTCAACATGATGGGGTGGGGCGAGGATTCAGTGATTCCACACCTTGACTCACGTGATTACAGCTGACCACATACAATGCTTTATTAAATACAAAACCCACCAATCCAAAAATTTACATTATATAAAACAATAAGAAAACATAACATACAAGGTCTTAAATAATCAGGCCCCATCTTATCTTAATGACCTTGTAGTACCATATCACCCTATTAGAGCACTTCGCTCTCGCTCTGCAG